TATCATTCTGTGTTTCTCGTCTCCATCCTCAAGCCTAAAGGAAGAACTAAAACTGATAAAAAAAAATGTACGCGTTGCTTAGATGTGTTCAAAAATGGTGCACAGTCTTGCCCTCAAACGCTGAAAATTGGTGATAAAATTGAGTGTTTATAAGCAAACTTCATAAATGATGTTCATATTGATAAATCCACCGTTCCTTGGTGATTGTAGAGCTTAAAAGTAGCGGAAAGCAAAACCGAAAGCGATTCGAATATCCTTTTAAGGACAGTAAGACATTTCGTGTTTTTTTATGAAACTGGAACTCGCTAATTCTTTTTCCAGAGCGGTAGAAGAACCATTCAAGTGCGCGAAGTGTGGATACTTTTGAATGGGGCGGAAATTTATAATCATAAAAAGACAGACGGCATAACAGAAAAGTTGAAGATATTTGAAAAAAGTGTCATGTCGAAGGCATATATTACACAGTTAGGACATTTTAACGTCACACTAAAACATTCTTGTCTTATCTCAGGAGAATCTATGACATTTTTGTCAAGTGAATGATCTGTTTATAATTGCGTTTCCTGTCGCTGGGAAAGAGCCTGGGATGTCTACACTGAATGAATACGCTGACGTTCACCCCATTAAGGTAACAGTGTGCACATCAATGTATAGTATCTTGCTATTATCAGCAGCATTCAACTACATACGGGACGGTGGAGGTATATGTTCTGTGCAAGCCCATAGTCAACAGCTGACTCTGATCATCCCTGCAGTAAAGCAAGTTTATGAGTTTCGTACGACCAGAAGCCCTAACCTGATGACGATGCAGGCACTGTGTTCGTTAACGAACACATCGGCATTTGTGCATCTGTAAAGTGTTTCCCAAGGTATGGGTGCTGGGGTTCTTCTCTGGTATGGGCTTGTTATGTATGTGTCTGCCAAGGTCCTTGTTTATATTGCTTGTGTAGATTGGACTGGGAAGATTCCACAATGGGCTCATGAAGGACCGCTATTGTTTTCTAAGTGATCTCTTGAATTTTGTTAGACCGCTCACCAGACTTTCATTAATATTGGTCAGACATGGGAAATGGTTACGAACACTGTTAATCTTTCCCTTGAAATACTCAAAGTGATTTGTGTATCAGCCAAATTGGTTTCAGAACCCGGATTGTGTCTATGCAACTGAAATACAATGCCCAAAAGCTACACACGCAAAACATATCCTTGTTAAAGTCCTATATCTAAATTCATATGTTTCATATTTCATGTATGTTAAACTGAAGGTTAATGTTCAATAAGCACCAGTAATATGTAGAACCATTCCTGGGAACGACAACGGAATAATATCGAACAATTTGACACCGCATTGGAAATGTATATGTATTGCTAGCAGGACACTGAGGCCAGTCAGATACCATGTTTTGAGCATTTGCACCAATTCATCCTTATAACTGTATCTATGACAGCTTACTGATGAGTTTTAGACATCAAGATTTTAGAAATCGTTCGATAAGTAATGAACTCTCATTCCTTTGACAAGAAACATGAGTCTTTTAACGTCGTCGTGGGAACAGCATGAGACTCACCGCCGCCATTAGACTCTTCCAACAAGTGCTGAATTGAATCCAGAGGTTTTATTAGCCAGCTCTTCTGTGACTAGATGGCAATTCTGTGTAAAACACGTAGCCTGTGCTACTCTGCCGCCATAAGTAGACTTTTATCACAAATTATGTTGTAAATGAAACTACTTAAGTAGCTCGTTTTAAAGATATAAATAGTTGTGAGGGATATATTCCTTTTTTCATTAAAAGAGAAACTTTACTTTCATGTTATTTAATCATGGCATGTAATAATAGACCCAAGTAAGGCTATTCTTAACGAAATGATTTAGTATAGGTTCATAACGTACCACTGTACAGAATAGTTTTGTTCATTGTGGTTTTCGTACATTTACTGTGCATTAAAGCTCGCTAACAGTGGAGCGGGTATTACACAGTGAGCAGGTAAGTTTGGTCTTCGGGAGTTTTAACAGCATCGCTGTTACGAGGCTGGTGAGATTGATGTGGGAGGGAAATCCGAAGGACTGTAGGTCTAAGATGTATACCACCGGTAAACATAGTCAGTTAGACCTAGATTCAAACTCATGATTATAGGTTTCTGGAGATCGAATTGCCCCACCCCCACCAACCCCTCCTCAACCTCTGGATTATTGTCATCCACCCGAAACAAGCAAGCCAGATAACCTTCAGATGTTTAATGTCATTCCTAACAACAAACAAGGTTTTTTTCTCGTTTTCTTTTTGTTTGTTGTTTTGTTTTTGTATGTGTATGTGTTTGTTTGTATTTTGGTTGGTTATGTTTGTTTTGATTTTTGGTTTTGGGTTTGTTTTTTATTTATTGTTTTTATGTTGTTGTTTTTTGGGGGGGCAGGTTTTGGTGTTTTTGTTGTTGCTGTTTGTTGTTGGTGGTGGTGGTGGTGGTGGTGTGTGCGTGTGTGTGTGTGTGTGTGTGTGTGTGTGTGTGTGTGTGTGTGTGTGTGTGTGTGTGTGTGTGTGTGTGTGTGTGTGTGTGTGTGTGTGTGTGTGTGTGTGTGCGTGCATTTATACCTGTTTCTAAACAATAACTTAACTACAAAACTATGCATGTTTGCAAAATATCAATTCAATTCAAGTCAATATTTATTCCGACAAACCACCATTGGTGGTACAGGTACAGTACAAATAAAGTCATAACATAAATGATGAGTTGTTATGATCACTTGGTAACAGTGAATATATCAGTGCTTATCTTTTTATAGTGTTATTAATAATTCTTATAAATCTTGAAATATTTTAACAAGTGTATAATCGTCTGAGGTAAACAATAGTTTAAATTTTACAAGATTCGGCCATTTACTGTAATAAGTCGGGATATATTGGGATCTTTTGTAGTCAAAGAACGAGCATTTAAATAGATAGTGGAATTCGTCGGCTATCGCCGGTGAATTACAAAGATTCCAATTTCGGTTTATTCTTGGTATATTATTCCAGCGGCCAGTTTCTATTGGTAGGTGATAGTTCGATGTCCGAAATGACATAATGGGCCGAGAGATGTAAACAGGAAATAGAAGGTACTTTTCAAACGACGGCAGATCTTTGAACAGTTTATAATAATTACCCTTTGAACTTATATGAATATCTTCCCTCCATTTCTGTATAAAATTATCTTTAAGAGTTGATTCAACCATTGAGACTAACCACTGTTTACAAACTCAACTAGGGTTATCAAATACATAAGTTAAGCCACAACTGTTTAAAATACTTTTTATGTGAGGTATCCATACATTATTATTACGGAGATTAAGAGAGTTGTCTAGTTTGAAGAGTTGAAGGACACGCGATGATAACCTATACGGGGAAGATGCTGTTTCTAAATTATACCAAAATGTGATCATCCGTTTAGCTATTGTGATGCTCACAGGGACAACCCAGTTCGCCATAAACCATGAAGTTAGGGGTTGATAATCGTAATCCTGTAGCAAACTTGAGAAATTTAAGATGAAACTTTTCAGCATATACAGTATTTTCATACCCCCATATTTCACTGCCATATAAGGCAATGGGTAGTATTAAAATATCAAACAGATTAATTACAGTATCACAACACCAATTGTTTCGATTTGCCTTTCTCGGCAGTACATCGGTCCGCCTGCTAGAGTAACTGTCCGAAGGGAAGTCACTCCCACCAAAGTCTCTGATACGCAATGTTTGTTCAGTCAGCGTAGCCATTCAACAGCTGGCCACAACGTTACAAAAGGCAGAGCTTGATATGCATGCAACGAATAGCGAACGATGAGGACATATGTGGTCCAAATCAAACCCTTTTAATTGGGGGAAATAGTTTACAAGCAGAAGTCTACATGCACGGGTATGGAAACTGATCCTGCTGGCGTCTTCGCGAAATTATTTTGCAAATTATATATTATTGAAATTAAAGATTGCAAACTTGTAAGATGCCTCGGCTAAGCCCCATTGGGCACTGGTTGTATTTATCTCAGACTACAACTTCTCCCAGTAGTTTCTCACGATTCCCGATGCTTAATTCTTACTCGATAGCCATGTTTGTTGCTTAAGGCTAGGAAGTATCTGCCAAACCTTTAACGCTGCATCTCTATCCGTAAATGACCAAAAGGATAGCTGTATCCCAAATCTACCCATTATATGATAACGTTACCATTATTCGTGAGGTGAGGTGAGGTGAGGTGAAATTGGGTTTAACGTCGTGCTTGAGAATATTTCGCTCATATGACGACGTGCATGCGTGTGTATATGTATGTGCGGCTGCTTGTACTAGCCCAGACATAAGCTGGTTTTATAGTGCTAGCTCACTGAGATATCAGATATCATGAAGCATGAATACCCCACTCAGACACAGTATACTGACTCCGAGCCAACCAGTCCTTGTTGTACCCATTAATGCCGAGCGCCAGGCAGGGACCAACAAGTACCATACTTTAACGTCTTTTGGTATGATGCGGTCGGGGATCGAACCCGCGACCTTCCGCTCTCCGGGCGGACGCTCTAACCACTACACCACGGAGGCGGCCTATTCGTGAGAACATATAGCTAATTAACCGTCCAGTCGCATGCAAATCCATACATAAATCATATGGGCGGCCATTTCTGTTGCCAGGTGGTGATGATGGTTGATGTGTCACAAATGAACGTGTTCGCACTCCAGGTAACAGACTTAGAGTTAGATATCAGTCAGAAATGCTATTTGTTATGCACATATTTCACTTGCCCATTTGAGTCTAAATTCATTGCATGCCTCAAGCGGATTGTTCGGGAACCTACAATCTGAACGTTTCAGCATCACCATTGAACTTTATACTGATTGGACACAAGCCAATTCAGCTCCTAAGAACTCGTACACCTTGGTGATATTACAGACTTGTAAAACGGCTTATTTTACCTGGAAATAAATAAAAGAAGGTACATACAGTTTCCATACGGTCTGTTCTAACTCTATCAACCTACCTTTCACCGGGCGTGTGTGTATTCCGACTGCCACTGTAATTGCCAACAGAACTCATGCATTTCTAACCGATGAATACAGGACCCAGCTGTTGTATTGAAGGGATATGTACAACTAGACAGAGCAAAACACAAGCATGTGTTATGAATTGTGTAGAAATGGTTTCGTGCATTAATGATGCTATAAATGTGTCATGCTCTTTCTGTTGAGACTGTCACGAAAACAAATTACATCCATGTGATTTTGTCAGCCTGTAACTGGCATGATTGTGCATAATTTTGAACAGATATTATACACGTATATGCATGACTGTATGTTTTCGTACTGACCGTATTAGGGACCGTTCATAATTTATGGCTAAGGGGGATGATGATATGACGATTTTAACGGTGGGGGATCATCCATTTTGTTCCCTGTAGGTAGGGGGGGTCATCAATTTTGTACACATTATCTACGAGGGATGTCATTGATTTTGTACATGGCATGCAGTGGGGTGGGGAATGTACATAATTTTTAGGGGGAGGTATTCACATTGTACATGGTTCTCCATAAAAGAAACATCATCACAAACACACACATGCACACACACACACACACACGAGCCATATATGTATTATGAACGGTCCCTTTCAAGGAAATTCGATATACATGTACTTATGTTAGATTTATTTGTTCACATATTGCATCGTTCACGACACAATATAATGAGATATGGTTTTTTAATAAAATAGGTGAATATTAATTTAGGTCATATATGCCATGTGTATGTTTACATGGCTTTCAGTGGAACACATAGAAATCGATCCAGTTTTCAACTAGTAGCCTCTAACTTGTCGATACGCAGGCAAATGAAGGTGTGGTCACATTTCGTTGGTTATTATGTTTATAGGTATTATTGCCGAATGATAATAGTAACACTGCAAACTGGTACCTTCCGGACATATACCGGTCACAATATCAGGTGACCTTTATCATGCAAATCAGCCATTCACATTTCGTTCAGTGAATATATGTATGAAGCAAACATTCGATATCATATTTGAATTAATTGACCAAAATAATCCACGGTGTCGTTTTTCTCACATTGGACATTCAGTGTTTTAGTGTATGTAGCAACATGTTTGTGCAGTGAACAGCCTGAAAGATTGAAAGTTGGTGTTTGAGTGTTTTTTCATGGTTTCCCATCCCCCATCCCCATCCCCCATCCTTTAGTTTAGTTAAAACATATAATTTCGAAAGTAGTTTAGTTACAACATATATTTTGGAAGGTATTGTCATGAGATCATCAGTGTCTATTAAATTCTACTTCAGTAAATCGTGATTAGTCATTGTTACCGTGCGTCGTAACGGAGGACTTCAATTGAGTGCGGTGGGATAGCCTAGTTGTTAAAGCGCTCGCTCATCACGCTTAGACCCAGGTTCGATTCCCCACATGGGTACACTATGTGAAGCCCATTTCTGGTGTCCCCCGCCCTGATATTGCTGGAATATATTGCTAAAAGCTGCGTAAAAACAAACTCACTCACTCAGTTGCAGGGTATCAAATGGCTGACAGAATCAGCCATACCGGTGATGTTTCAGAAGTTGCCAGTGAATGTGTTGATGCTTCTGTCATCAATGTTAAATTTGCGAATTTATTAAAGATACTGAAGCTGATGCTGAAGTAAAGTCACAGACGTCTGCATTGTAATGCATATGAACTACCCATCAAAAGTTTAGACTCACTTAAAACACTCACTATATGTTATGTATATATATGTGGTTACGTCGAATTTGTCCACTAACTTTGGGGAACCTTATGCAGATGAATTTCACGAGGATCATGCATCAAATTGCTGAAAAGTATGTGCAAATATCGTGCATTTGAACAGCTGCGTTTTGGTGTGAAGTTTTGTTAAGAATTCACCAATTTTCACTGAGTTTCATCATTTATTGAACTCATGACAATAATCTTTTCAGCGTTACAATTTGTTTTACAATACATCAGTTCAAGTGTAAACAGTACCCTTAAACTGTATAGAATATTTTGCAAAATCTAGTTTAGAACAGTTGACTGAAGTAAGTGGCTAAATTTACACCAGTGAGTCTAAACTTTTTATGGTGAATATATATGCACGTAGTTCACCATAAAATATCTCCTCTGGGTCTGATGGATAGTCCGTCTCCTCGGAACACAGAAAAACCGTTGGATGGATCTCTTTCCCTCAATTAAACAAATTTGTTTGCAAACAAATTACAAAATGGTACCTGTAGTTTCCTGTTTCCCTGTTGAGCACAAGGCCTCAAAGGTGAGTGAGTATGGTTTTACGCAGCTTTCAGCAATATTTCAGCAATATCACGGCGGGGGGACACCAGAAATGGGTTTCACACATTTTACCCATGTGGGGAATCGAACTCGGGTCTTCGGCATTAACCACTAGGCTACCCCACCGCCCCGAGGTATAAAAGGAATAACACAATGTTTTGTGGACTTTGCGTTTGCATTGCAAACTCATGTTGCACATTCATGGTAACCCTGCATTATCGTAAGTCTGGACAAGAAGAAGTTGTCATAAGAGCGCTATATGAGTCACATCATCTTCAACACGAACTAAAATCCCATTTCACTGCACTATTGCAACAGTTGCCATGACACAAAATTTGCGAGTACTTTATCATTTTATAAAAGTTTAGTGCACGAATTATGGTTATGCACTGACGGTCTTTGTAACAACATACAGGTCAATGCATTTAGTATAATCGTAACATAACCATCACACTGATCACACTGTGTAATTACGAATACGCACTGTGATGATAAGCTGCACATGGTATGGAAAACCACGTGGTTACTGTACGAGTGAGTGAGTGACTGAGTTTAGTTTTACGCCGCACACAGCAATATTCACGCTATATGGCGGCGGCCTGTAAATGATCGAGTCTGGACCAGACAATCCAGTGATCAACAGCATGAGCATCGATCTGTAATTGGGATACGATGTGTCAACCAAGTCAGCGAGCCTGACCACCCGATCCCGTTAGTTGCCTCTTACGACAAGCATTGGTTACTGAAGGCCAATATTCTAACCCGGACTTTCACGGGTCGGTTACTATACGATGCTAATATATACTAACATAATAATACAGTAAACTATGGATATAACGAACTCGAATGGACCACTAAAGTTCGTTATAACCGATGCAACAGTACAGAAAGGGTCCAGAACCAAACAATAGTGGGTCAGTTCGTTATAAGCGTGTTCGAGATAAACGTAGTTTCTTGTACACCACTAAGACTAATATAAATGTCACTAGGAGGACCCATGAAGATCCTGGTTAGAATTGATCTTCAGCAACCCATGCTTGTCGTACGAGGCAACTAACGGGATCGGGTGGTCAGGCTCGCTGACTTGGTTTGACACATGTCATCGTATCCCAATTACGTAGATCGATGCTCATGCTGTTGATCACTGGATTGTCTTTGACTTGATTATTTACAGAGCTTTATAGCTGGAATATTGTTGAGTGCGGCGTTAAACAACACACCAAACGAAAGCCTCGCGGAGACTCAGGTTAGGGTTAGTTCCCAGAATACTGAGTCAGAATGGTGGTTTTAAGAGACTTGGTGTCTTGTTTGGTAACGTTTCATTGTAGCTCGATGACGTCTATCGTTGCTGATTGTACCAATCACCTGACTACCCAGTCCAGACGGACTTATTAACAAGCCGCCATGATATAGCTAAAATATTGCCGTGTGCGGCGTTGAGCCACCAACACGATAGGAATGTTAATAAGGTTCCTTGCTGTGTTGCAATGTACATGAATTCCCCGTGGGATAAGCCAACAGTGAATTTATCTTACAGCCATGTTTTTAATTTACCTAATTTAAAAACAAACGGAACGTGAGATGCGAAGCGTTTGTTTGTCGCCATCTTGCCAGACAACAATTTGTTTGTGTTTAGGCTCTGCGCATCAAAGTCATTGTTAATAAACATTATGCGACGCCGTTTCGCTGTAAGGAGCTTGAGTTGGAGAGGTTTAAGAGAAGGTCAACACGCTTGTTGCCATGATGGCGGTGTTTGTGTATCCTTCAGCTCACCGCTGTAACAGGAAGTTTATCAGAACGTCATTCACAAAACAATACCAGTATGTTCCATGTTTGTTGGGAAAATATACCTATTGACTGTAAATATTTGCACATACGTGTTAATTCTTTAAATTCAAATTTTCGCAAAATGTGTACACTGACATGTTTCTTTGTGCCTTATTGAATGGGAAATTTATGTTACATTTGTTTGATTTGGGTCTGATTTGGTTTGATTTTTGTGGACACAAATGCATTTCACCATATGCCAGGGGAGAAGGAGTATGCAGGTGATATCGCTCATCTCTCAACGCAGTAATATCATAATTTGACATGTTCTAATTATCTAAAAATGGCAATGGCACAAATAGATAAGACGGTTTTGCATTATTCTGGTTTCTGCAGACATGCCAACGAGAATACACTCAAAACATTTACGTTCAAACAGACAGACAAGTGGCATAGTGTCAGGGAATCTGATAAATAGCAATGACACTGCTAACAGAATCAAGTGTGTATCAAAATCCTAACCACATATATTGATATTTAGAATATATAGAGAACGGTCATTCATTAGGTGGGGTGAAAAGGTATTTAAATCTTTACGCAACAAAGAAGTACATTTTGAATCAAATTTAAGTATATATTTTTTTTTATACTTTTCCAACAGTATGCACAAAAGGTGGGGAGGGTCTTCCGATACTGTGAACAGAATTTGAGGGTCATTATTGCCAATACATTACTCCGTGAAAACCCTCTGACCCTTCATTCCTCGATAATATATTACAATCTCACTGGGTGATATGCTGTTATACAGTAATGTGCAATGCAATGTATGGAATGAAAGACTGTAATTCACTGTTGCCACCATCGGTGTTGGCATTTGTGGTATTTAGCGGAATCTATGATATCATAACCACTGCTTGATATGTTTAAACGTCTCATGTGGTCTGGGAGGATGGGTGTCCGGTCGTCTAAGGTCGTCTGTATTGTTGTGCATGATTGCAGCTCTCTGGGATGACAGAACATGTGA